CAAAGAGACAAATACCTATTTCCTCACTGTTTCTGGCCTCTCTGAAATTGTGTGTGATTGTTGGTCAGGAAATCTTGCAAGTTATTATATCTAATCAGAAAGATATCATTGCTAATATTTTAATATTCATTTTGTAATACAGGTAAACATTCTAAACATAATTGTAGCAATTACATGTTGAAACATTGTGTCAGCTGAAGTATGTATATTATTGCTAGAGTGAATTTCATCAATAATAGTGATTGTGAAAGCTAGTACATTTATGTCAAAACAATTATTATAAACTTCTAAATAGTTAAAAAAAATTGACCAAATTTATGAAACTGCCCTCAAGGCATCGGACATAGGCGATGAAGAGCAATGGTCCATGAGAGGTGGAAAACAAACCAGGTGAGCCATACAATTGCTCCAACTTACAGCCTAGAAAAGTTTTCCAGGCTGTGGCACGAGGATGGAGTGGAGGCCAGCAGTCTGACTCCCTGAGGTGAGGAGGTGAGTCCTAGGAGCCCAAGCAAGTAGAGTTCACAGGGTAGAATGCCAGGGAGGAGAAAGCCGCACACAAAGGGAACTCCAGAGATCTGCTGACCGTTGCCTTAAAAGTTTTCAGCTGAGTAATGATCAGCCCACATGATAGGAAACTACCAAAAGCCAACAAAAGACCCACCAGAAAGGATTATAGGAAAAAATACTCAGAGCTCACACAACACAGGGTGGTGGATAATTCCTGTTCCTACAAACAGCAAGAGTGGAAAATCTCATAATTCACAAGGCGTCAGAGAACGAAGAAAGGTCTTGCTTCAATAATGGAAAAAAATTAATCCTAGACTATATGCTGCTCTAACAAATGCTTAAAAGCAAGACTCAAAAAGATCAAACTGTTTCCAAGTAACCTAACTGTATTCCAGAACAAAACTCAAAAATGCTTTTAAAAATATGAAAATAGTTTTAATCATTTAAAATAATAGTTTAATTTGAAACTGACTAGTTTTATGGCTTGCCCATGTGAAGTGGCTGCATCTTGAGGCTGTTCAGAGTGACATATACTGGGTTTCTTCTCACACGTGTGCCCAGGGTGGAAGAAACTGAATTAAAAATGCTTTTTCTGGGCTTCCCTGGTGGCGCAGTGGTTGAGAGTCCGCCTGCCAATGCAGTGGACACGGGTTTGTGCCCCGGTCTAGGAAGATCCCACATGCCGCGGGGAGGCTGGGCCCGTGAGCCATGGCCGCTGAGCCTGCGCATCCGGAGCCTGTGCTCCGCAACAGGAGAGGCCACAACAGTGAGAGGCCCGCATACCACAAAAAAAAAAAAAAAAAAATGCTTTTTCTATATATTTGTGTCTCATCGTTTTAAATTTCTGTTTGTACATTTTAAATATATACATTATATTCGTGTATTAATACATGCATGTAATTTATTAAAATTATGGAGTGAATGAATAGCACAGCTCACGTTTGAGGGAGTTTGAAAATCATTATATTATAGTTTTTTTTTTTTTTTTTTTTTTTTTTTTTTGGTGCGGCG